GGGAGCAGGGGCTTCCCTGGGAAAACACTGGGGTGCAAGGGTGTTTTCTGGGGTTGTACTGGGCTACACTGGGGTGCACTGGGATGTCCTGGAGTGTCATGTCCATGGAGGGGAGGGTCTGGGTCCAACAGAACTCATGGTGCCCACCTCAGCTCTCTTCACTTTCCCGAATTTGAGAAACTGCACCTGTAGAGAGACCATGAGACCTCACTGGTCACTGGGATGTCCCCAGTCCCAGCAAGGGATGGGAGAACAAAATTGTCCTCCTGTTGTCCAGACCGTGCGCCCTCTAAGTCCACCACACTACTTACCTCTCTCTCATAATTTTCACCTTCTTTCACGAATGCCTAGGGAAGAAGAGGAAAGATGTTATCTAGATTGGACCTTGGAGGGGCGGTGGGTGGGTCACAGGTGTACCCCCATCCACCCAGGCTGGGGAGAGAGACAAGGATAGCAAGGGGAATACCGGGCCTCTAAAGAGGGTGGGGATGGAGGCGAACCAAAGGTAGGGCACTGGGCAGAATTATCAGATTTCAAGAGACTGGGCTGGGGGTTGTTGATGTGACAGGACTGCATGGGATGCAAATGTGGGGAAATGATTACAAATGGAAGGGACATAGGGTCTTCAAGCGTGGTAGTTGGTGGGGACAGAAGGAAGAGGATTACAGAGGACCAAACTGATGTGATTAGGAGAGTGTCTGGGAGTGGGGGGTTCAAGGAAGAGGATATGGGGACACTACCACAGTGGAAAGGATGTAAGGCAAAGGACTGAGGGGAGAGATGGAAAGAAAGGTAGTGGGAGCAGCAAAAGGGAGGGATTTGTTGACCCTTGGTTGGACGAGGAGGATATCCTTTGGAGAGATGTCTGAGGGGAAAGAAAGGATGGGATGGGGATGTGCAAAAGAGAGAGAGATGGGGGCACCAAGACAAGAAAATGGTCTGGGCCCTCAGAGGATTTTGTAGTGGACCCTCTCAGGGAATGGAGAGGACTGGTCATTCAGTGAAGAACACGGGTTCGACACAAAAAGATTAACTGCGGGGAAGTAGGGGAACAGATGTAATTGTGGGAGGGACAAAGCTGAATGCCCAGGGCTGGAGGTGCAAAAGAGCATGGAGGAGCCCCTGGGGGGAAAGGGAAAAGCCAAAGCCAGGGGTTTCGTGCTCACCACTACAATTCTGTTCCTGCAGCCCAGACCCATTCCCACCCACGAGCCCCTCCTCGTGGTATTGGGGACTCACCTGAGCATCTTCCGGAGTGCACAGCAGGATGGTGAAGAGCAGGGCCACGCTGAGCATTGCGACCTTCATCTTCCTCTGTGGTGCGGTGAGTGTTGGGTGAAGATGGAGAAGGTGAGGGGCAGATTTATTCCATCCATGACTCCTCCTTTTTCCTCCCGAGAGCCCCCAGGGCAAAGCCAGGCTTGGCAGAGACACCAGCCCTGGCAACAAGCCCAGCCCAGGCACAGAGTCACCCCCGCCTCCGGCACGGATCCGGACACCTTCCTCAGCATCAGTCCAGCTTCCTGCACGGGGCAGCTGCTCATGGATGGGCCCTGGCATCTGGGGGTTGTTAGGGAGAGCCACAGAGCACCCCTAACAGCCGAACACCCTACGGTGATGCCCCACTCTTCCAACATTAAACCATCATCCAGCTTCCTCCCACAGCCAGATCTCTGCATCTTCCAGTGCCCCTCACCTCTCATCACTGCCATCTGCCAGTGCTGCCCACCTCCCAGGGCAATCTTTCTCTCCAGGACTCCACCAGAGGTGATGCCAGCCTCAAATTAGGAGACTCGCAGAGTGATCTTGAACTGTTTTCCATCCCCTTGGGTAAAGCTGGGGCTGGGACTGACCCCTATTCTCAGAGCACCAGGGACCAAGGATTAGGGAACTCTGGAAAGTGGGAGGACAGCTGGGCACATGGGAACAGCAAGGTGACTGGGATCTTCAGTCACTGGAGGCACTGGGGAGCACTTGTGAGTACTGGGCACTGGGAGACAAGGCTTTGGCTTGGGGGCAGTGCTGGGGTGGTCACGGTGCCCAGCTCCAGCCCACCCCATCCCCTTTGCACTGCGGGCTTCAAACGGATCCAGCCTGCAGCCACGGCCTCCCCAGGGCGGAGAGCAGAGGGGAATATCCCCTGCCCCTGCCCCTGCCCCTGCCCGCGGCCACCGTGCCCTCCCAGACAGCCTGGGTCCCACTCTGCAGAGCTGTCCCCGGACGGTGGGTGCCGGTGACTCTGTGCCTCTGGCTCCAGCCCCATCCTGGCTGGGACTCGGACACAGCTCACCCGAGGGCCTTGACCCCACCGAGTGTCCCTTCAATGCTCTCGTCCTTGGCCCAGCCAGCTCTGTCCCCGAGCAGGATGTGGCCGTCCAGAGGGACGCGATGAAGTGGGTGCTTGTCCCCGGGCAGCCACTCACAGCTAATTGATGGGACAGAGCCGCCCTGGCGAGAGGAGGGAGGTTTGTCCCCGCAGCATCTCTGATAAGCCGTGTTTGCCCCGAGCCTGTGGCACAAGGAGCCCGTTCAGACAGCTTGGGGCTTGCTGACAGAACAGAACTTAGAGCTGCCCGGGTGATGGGGCTGCCTCCCCAGGGCCACCGCGTCCCTTTCCCTCTCCCCACCTCGCCTGCCCTGCAGCTATCCCGGCCTTTCCAGGGTGGTTTCCTTTGCAGCACCCCCGGCCCAAGCATCACCGTCCTGGTGGCGCTGGGCAGTGTCCTCTGGCCAGGCTCGGGCAGGGGCAGGGGGGGCTTGTACACGAGGGGTTCATTACTCCACGCTGAGTGGGGAGAGCCGCTGGGTGAAGCTGCTGTCCTGGCTTGCACCAGCCCGGCACGACCTTTCCCATCCACCCGGCACCGGTGCGCTGGTTCTGTCTGGTGATGACACTCACCCGACCTGCCACCACCGCTCTCTTCGAGGATGCAGGTGCCTCAGGAAGCAAAGGAAGAGCGGGGTCCCTGTTAGCAGGGACATACCCATGATGGAGACAGGCAGAGTTGGATCAACAAGCTCAGGCAGCCCTGTTTTACCTCCCTGTAGATGCACACAGCTATCACAAGAGACAGATTGCAGGGCAGATATTTATTTATTTCTGCATACCAAGAAGAGGGCATTTTTCCTGGTGGTGTGAGCTAGAACTGGAAGGAGATCGGGCCAGTAAGGTCAGTGTCGGGAGGTGCAGCATGTAATTATTTGTGTCTTTCAATTGCTGACGGTCAGAAGTAACCGCAGGTAATGACCAGCAAATGCAGCGGCCGCACTGAGCGACAGCAGCACTGAAGGCATTGGGCTCGTTGCCTCTGCTGAGTGCCTGGGACATCCACTTTATGACAGCAGAGCCACGAACACTTTCTAAGGCTGGCGTGTTCCTCCGTAAGCTCATCCTCTGTTTGCTATGTGCCACAGTAATTCAAGCTGCCACGCTGTGCTTCCCAATCACCATTCACTTTCACAACCTTCCAGCAGTCCGTTTCACACGTCTGAAAGTAAAATAGTTCTCTGGTCTAGTCCTCTGCCTAGGAGGGTGTGAGGGTCATTTATTTTTGTGAGGCACAAGCTGGGAATCAAAGGCTGGTGGCAACAATCTGGTTCAGGTTTTGAAGTCAGTGGGAGGTTTGCCTGAGTTTCGGTGAATCCAAGGTGTCACTGGGTTTGTTCCCGTGGTGAGTCAGACTCCTGTCACGGCTTCAACGAAATAAAAGTACACTGATAAGTCTTTCTCAAGATACGTAAATGGCTCAGATTCTTCTCTGACATTATATGTCATTTTAAATTCCTCTGGTTATATCTTTACAGGATATAAACGATATATCTTTATGGGACACTAGCTATAAAGAAGAGATCTGTTGTGGATCAGCTGTGAAAATAATTTAGGCAACTGACTTGAATATTTGCTTTGGAAATTGCCAAAGAGCAAAATCCACGGGAAGATTTTCTTCTTGACTGCTTCTGCTTTGTGTGCCATATATTAGAGAGTTAAGTAACGGTGCTGAATTATTTATCATATTTAAATAAACTGTGATGTTATTTGTTTTCTGAACTTATTTTGAAAAGAATTGATGAATTGTATGCACTGTCATTACTGAGGGTTTATTGACTTGGGAGAGGTCAAGGCCGCCTTTGAGATAAGTGCAAATCAGGTGAATGGCATTTGATAGCCACTTAACATTAAAGGTGCTATTCAGGACAATCCCACCTACTGGTTGTATCACATCTATATGGACACGCTCCTTTCTTTTGTGACAGTAGCATATTCAAAAAATAAAATGTCATGAGTTTGCTGGTTTGAGAATGAGGCATCTTTGTTTTTGACAATGAGATGCATCTCCCCTGCTGCGTTGTAGGAAACCCAGGGATGGAGACAGGGAGGGAGACCAATGAAGGCAGCCAGGAAAGGGGAGGAGAAGGATGGGGGCAGAGAGGGAGGGGGAGAGGCAGCTCTGCAGCACTGGCCGGCGCTGTCAGTGGGGACAGACAGACAGTGCGGGCCCTTTTTGCTACACATTTATGTCTTGCTTCCCATCTCTGAGAGCCCTCCAGTTCCAAGTGTCCCATAGTACCCGCAGAGTGTGAGGGGAAGGACAGGATTTGGCGGGGAGTCTCTGTCCTTCTCTACTACCTTTGGCTGGGACAGAGTTAACGGCAGAGTTGACCAGAGCGTGTTAGAGGGAACTAAGAATTTCTGTGATAGCTGTTTAACAGTTGCTGCTCATGATATTGAATTATCTGGGCTCAACATTAGTTTATCTGATCGGTGCAATGCTCCCTTTTCTTTGTACATGTTAAAGGCTGGGTTTGGCTTTTGCATTTTGCTGTGCTCTGTAGTGCTTGGTGGTGTTTTGCCTGGGAGGTGTACTGTAAAAGCACAGGCCTTGAGCTTAATCTGGGATTGGACCTCTGCACTGATGCCATTACTCTGTGAATCATCGCATGGTGACAATTAACAATTACACTTTTTCCTGTTCCTACTCCAAGAGTTTTTCAGTTAAGGAAGCAGAGAACGGCACCTTCACCACCTTCTTCTATGTGTCAGCTATTTACTCCCTCATTATAATAACTCTTCAGTATGTTGAACATCCATGGGGAACCAAAACACTCCTATTAGTACTTCTCCAGAATTTTTTTCAGCTTTTTCTAGCATTAACCAGCCATGTAGGAATATCACTAATATATATTAATATTTTTAATATATATTAAAGGTAAGTCAGGGACAGGAGACATTATTATAGAGATCTGCTACACACCACTCGACCAGGGAGACCACCGGATGAGGCTGTCTATAGACAGATAGGAGCAGCCTCACATTCACTAGCCCTGGTCCTCATGGGACACTTCAACCACACTGATATCTGTTTGAGGGACAACACTGCAGTTCATAAGCAATTCAACAGGTTCTTGGAATACACTGATGATAAATTCCTTTTCCAAGTGATAGAGGAACCATCAAGGAGAGGGGCTATGCTGGACCTTGTTCTCACCAACAAGGAGGGGCTGATGGGGAGTGTGAAGATTAAGGGCAGCCTTGGCTGCAGTGACCAATAGATGGTGGAACTCAAGATCCTTAGGGCAGGAAGGAGGATGCGCAGCAAGCTCAGTACCCTGGACTTCAGGAGAGCAGCCTTTGACCTCCTCGGGGATCTGCTCGGTAAGGTAACATGGGATAAAGCCCTGGAGAGAAGAGGAGCCCAAGAAAGCTGGTTGATATTTGACGATCACCTCCTCCAAGCTCAGGGGAGATGCATCCCAACAAGGAGGAAGTCAGGTAAGAACAGCAGGAGGCTGAGTGGAAGAACAAGGAGCTTTTGGACGCAAAAAGGAATCCTACAGAGTGTAGAAGCAAGGTTGGGTAGCCTGGGAGGGTTACAGAGAAAGTGTCTGCGTAGGCAGGGATAAGGTTAGGAAGGCCAAAGCCCTGATAGAATTAAATCTGTCCAGGGATATCAATGCTAACAACTAAAGCTCTTACAGCTACATCGGTTATAGAAGGAAGACTAGGGAAACTGTGGGCCCTTTATGAAAGGAAACAGGAGACCTGGTTGCCCAGGATATCAAGAAGGCAGAGATACTCAAGAACTTCTTTGCCTCCTTCTTCACTGGCAAGGGCTCCAGTCACACCACTGAAGTCACAGAAGGCAAAAGGGCGGTAGGGAGAATGAAGAACCACCCACTGTAGAAGAAAATCGGGTTCAAGATCATGTAAGGAACAAGTATGTGAGACTTGCTGAGATGCACCTGCGGGTCCTGATGGAAGTGGCAGATGAAGTGACTAAGTCACTATCCATCATATTTGAAAACTCATGACAGTCCGGCGAAGTTCCCACTGTCTGGAA